GTTAATCAATGTCGACTATTACATCAAATTTCGATTACGGCATGTAATCATATACTATAAGTGATTAATAATGATGTTTCTTTCAACAGGGTCAAAATTATATTCCCACATTTAACATGCTTGATTTCTTAATTATGGTATACATATTACAAGAAAATAGTACACAAAATATCTCAGAGTGCAACCATTTAAAGTCGGTAGAGTAGACATGATCATATCAAATACAAAATAGCAAAAAAGTGAGCTTTCTAAGAGTTTGGAGTTATCTATCGACCTCTATATACATTTTTCGTTATTCGATTGTGACCCGCACCACACAGCTAAGTCTTTAGATCATTCGTCCTATTGAGACAGGTTATTAAAAGCGGTCCAAACCTTATGCGGCCACGGTTCAATTCATTTGACCATAGACGCACATATAGATGAGATGATCGAACGGTGAAGAAGATTTGACCACAAAATTGAACGTTGGATATGATATGGTATGGACCCACTTTGGAAGAGACGACAAAACGGGATTACGTTGAAATCTAATGGCTCTCGCGCATGCGACAGTGTTAGGCACTTGCATTTGCCTAAAAGGCGATAAAAGCCTACCTCATCTTTTCGTACTTCTCTACCTGTTTCTGTCTCGACTCACCGATTTTATGTTTGTATCCAATTTGAGTTTTACAAGTTTAGTCTAATCCTTCGCTGCCTCAAATATAAATTTCCATAATTTTTACGATATGTATCTGTTATATACTGAATTCTCTTATTTATGCAAAATTACTTTCATAAGTTAATTAATTTGGGTTTTATCCTCTTTTTTTTTTGTCAACAATTTGGGTTTTATCAATATGTATAAAATATACATAACAGCTCAAATTAATAAATCCATGTGAAAAATTTTATAGTACGCAAGATTTGTTAATAAAATTTTTCACATATATAAGAAATTTTTAGTGAGAAGAGTTGGAGGTCTATCAATGTTTTGTTTCTGGAACAAACCATTGGAATTTCAATTATGACTGAGATAAAAAGAATAATATCTACTGAGGATATTTCTTGGCTCAAAATCTACTGATGTGGATACCACGTTCTCTTACTAATAATTGAAACTATATGAGTAAATAGGATTAGTTTCTTTG